GTTTGATATTTCTCACTGTTAGATATACGGTATTTACCATCTACATTTGTTACGTAGTTATATTGATTAATGCGTTTCTAGAACTCCGCCTGGAGCCTCTCTGGGGCTACTGCCAGTCTCAGAACGACCAATGAAAAGCAAGGAGGGTAAAGTAGTCGCCAACATCGAAGAACAGCGAAAGAGGTGGGTGGAACACTTCAAAGAACTCTTGAATCGACCAGCTTCATTAAACCCACCCAGAATGAAAGTAGCACCCACGGACCTCTTAATCGATATTGGCCTTCAGACAAATCAAGAGCGGCAAAGCAGCAGGACCAGAAAACATTCCAGCAGAGGCACTGAAAGTAGATGTAGCAGTAACTGCAAATATACTCCACATTCTCTTCAGCAAGATTTGGGATAAAGAACAAGTACCAACAGACTGGAAAGAAGGACTTCTGATCAAAATACCAAAGAAAGGGGGTCACGGTAAGTGTGATAACTACAGGGGAATCACTCTTGTCTCAATACCAAGAAAACTCTTCAACAGGGTATTGTTAAACAGGATGAAAGACTCCATGGACGCCCAACTTCGAGACCAACAGGCTGGATTCCGCAAGGATCGATCGAGTACAGACCAAATCGCAACACTATGGATCGTTGTGTAACAATCAACTGAATGGAATTCATCACTCTACATCAACTTCATTGATTACGAGGAAGCACTTGATAGTGTGGACAGAACAGCACTATGGAAGCTTCTTCGACACTATGGCGTGTCTGAGATGATAGTCAATATCATACGGAATTTCTATTATTGGTTAAACTGCAAAATTGTAAATGAAGGGCAAGTGACAAACTCGTTTGAGGTACAGACCTGTCTTGGACAAAGATGCTTACTCTCACCCTTTCTCTTTTCCTGGTTGTAAGCAGTTGAATTTTTATCGAAATTATGACCAGTATTAAGTAAATGAGTCAACATACAACTTCTTAATTTCTTTTGTCTTGTGGTCAACCATGAGTGGTGATGTTCACAAATACGAGAATGTATTTGGCTAGTTGTTCACCCAATATAACTAGCTCCATTAGAGTAGTTGAAGAGGTAAATACACTCAGACAGAGGAACTGGGCAATTTTTCCTTATTTTATGAATTCGCTATTGGCTGGCTGAAAAAAGCAGGAGGTAATCTTGCTGGATTGAATACACATTTTAAAGTTATTCATAAACATCGAATAACTATGTCACTTTTTAACTGTTATTTCAGGGATATAGACATTTTTGGTACCTTCGGTGATTTCAATTTCGGTTTAGTTGCAGACGTATATTACGCTAGGAACGTAGTAAATCATGAACACTTCTTAGTTCCTATTCAAGTCTGTAATCAGAGCAAAACGTCCTAGCTTTATGGGCCTATCATTTGACTAAGCTTCTCTTATATTGTAATGGGACAAGACTCCAAATATCTGTATATTGGCTTGAGAAGAAAACACTGCAGTTTTCTTCCCTTGTGGAAGTGACTGCCTGGTGGATTCTGTTAAATGTTTCTAGTAAATTCTGAGCTTCGTTATTGTTTTTCGTAACTATAAACGTATCATCCATATAACTGCAACAAAATTTTAGTTGGCTTATCACATTTTTCTCAAAAGCGTTTCCCAATTCGTCAAAAAGAAATCAGCTAGGATTAGGCTCAATGGTGATGCCATAACGACACTGTTGAAATATGAAATTTCACCTTAGTTTTAATTTACCAAACTTCATTACTAATTTATTACTGTATTGTCAAATTGACTCACCACCCATCTATTTCGTATCGATTTTGTACTTAATTGTAAAGCAGAATTTAGTTAACTTTACACTTGACTCATATTCAGTCTATTTTCAGGTCCACTGGTTACATCTGAAAATCATGATATAGGCCAACAACTAAAGTTATGTTACCCAACTAGTGCGCTTGAGTATATACAGATCTAAATAGTAACTAAAATAGATCGAATTTCATATGCATAAACCTTGCCATGCAGCAAGTTGTTTCTTATCTCCAACTGAATTGTCTACATTTATCTTAATCTACAACAATCCACTGTGATTATATCTTAACAGGGTTTTTCGCTCAACTTCACTAAAATCGCAATATAAATAGAATATTAAGATAAGCCTTTGGAAGTTCATCAGTGTGTAGTGAGAATGATGCAACTAGGTGAAATTGAGTTGTCAATTCCTCACTGTGGGTTCCCTTTGAAACTAGAATTTTCAGTAGGAATCCATAATTTCAATGTAAAAGTTGTGTTTCATAAGCTATTCAGTAACATGCTTAGCTGAAAGTCACCCATTAATCAATAGCCAAATTAAAGTGATTCAAGTATAATCATATTCACTTATTTTGTTCACGATTGAGAACACATCAAAGGGACAACCGGATAGTTAGTTCAGATAAGAAGCGAAATCCTATTCTAACCACTTGAAATTCTATGTGTACAATATTACAGTAATTGATTGTTCACGAGTTATATTGTAATCCATTATGTGAAATATAAAAGGAAAAACAACTAACTATACCATAAAGTAAAGACATTTAGTTAAGGTACATAGGTATATATTCATTGAATTGTTACTGCCAAATACAACGATTTCATCTTCAAATTGTATCAAATAACTAGTTTTATAAAAAGCAAAAATTACAACCAGTAGTAATACAAATAATAGTGAGAAGAAGAAAAAAACAAACAATTAAGCAGCAAATTTCATATCAAGTTATTGATACCACATTAGAATGGATTTGGTCAAATTCTTTATGTTCATTTTCTATATTCTCTTTGTTAATTTGACAAATTGTAGGAGAGAAACTTTTATCGGTAAGTGAATGATGATTATCAGCAACATCATCATCATCATCATAATCGATAACTTCTATAGCCCATGATTGTATATTAGATGATGAAAATATGAGAAAGAAGAATCCAGCAATAAGAAATATTACAGAACCTACATAAAACACATAACGCCATTGCTCATAAGTTTTCTTGTAAAAGAAAAAAAACGAAAAGACAACAACACAAATATTTTAAACTTGTATGGACTGTATTCAAATAGAAAGAAATTGTTAGTAATTATTTGTTCTGAAAACAAAATCTTTGTTTTTTCGCTATACATGAAGCACTGTGATCATAGGTATTATCTAAGCACAAAATGTTCACCTATAGAGATTTGTAGTCTATTGCATTCAACTATCAGAACACTTGTAACAGTGTAACATAATTATGTCCGTAATGCCCCGGTATTGCGGAGAGTGGGGAGAGACCACTCTATCTCTCTCGAAATGCTCTCACATGCCCACGAGTATAAAGCCTTTACCTGGGAAGTCCTACTCATTGCCTTCTCGTGGCCGGGGTGTTGTTTACGAAATTGAGAGGACGAAGAGCGAATGTCCGGCGCTTTAACCGGGTCGGTAGACATCGAGAGTCCACCTAGGGGAGTTAGAAAACCCTCATTCCAAACCCATGATGCACATGGGCTCCAGTATGCTGAGGAAACAAATGGCGTATGAACCAATCGTTGGTCACCGGTTACCATGGGACTGCATCTCCTTACAATGCTCCACTGCTTTGTGGATCAGACCTTCAGGTCGAAGGCTTCGGGTGTGATCCCCTAAGAAAACCACTTGCCTCGGTTTGGGAACCCGGGCAGTATCACAGCATTCACACATATCAAATGAGATCTGTGTGGCGCATATGTATTTGGTGCTGTGGCGTCTCACAATAGGACGAAGCGGCCGTCCAGTGCTTCCAGGATTTCCATGGTGGTCTAGCTTCAATTGACTCATGATCTCAACTGTTGAAAGTACTACAATCTCCACAAAATCCCTTTTGATACCAATATCTGTGTTAAAATAAAATAAAATGAAGATAATTTTGAGTTATTCTATTGCAAATTAGATTAATTTGAGGGATTCAGTACGAAGAAAAGGAAATTTCATGTTCAATAGTCAGTCAGTCAATAACGTAGAACCTCGTACATACGTACATCAGTTCGAGTTGCCATACCACATTAGCACAGAGATACAATTGTCGATTCAAATCCCTTAGTGACAGAGGTAGTAAAAGTATAAGCAACAATCGGAAACACTAGGGTTTGAAGATGCTATTCAAGGAGTATAACCCAGTGAAATAAATTTGGAAAGCGAAAAAAAGGGACACGAAGAATTCAGAAGATTAGAATTTGGGAGAACACAAAGAGTGGATGCACCTACGCCATTGCTAACTATCTCGAGCCATGTGCCACTCAAGGTCTCTAACCATCGGTTGCTATCATCTCGCGGATCCCAACCAGGTAGTCTACACCTACCCGCATGACTCAGTCCACCTGTCAGTGACTTCATGGATTTGTGCCGTGTTTTGATCTCGCCGTTCATAGCTTTCTTCTAACCTCCTCCTACTGCGTTGGGGCAGTCGGTGGTTGGGCATACGTAACACGTGTCCCAGCCATCTCAACTGACGAAGTTTCAGTACTTCATCAATTGATTTGCCATGCTTACCTAGTACCCGTTTCCTAACAACTGCATTACTTACTCGATGGTCCCAGAATATACGAGCAATGCTTCGAAGACACCTATGATCAAATACTAGTAACCTACGGATATCCTCTACTCTTACTGGCCATGTTTTACTGCCATAAAGTAGGACGGAACGAACTGCTGCGCAGTAAACACGTCCTTTGATTGGTAGATGGATATCTCGCCTACGCTATAAATGACGCAAGTTGGCAAAAGCTAGTCGGGCCTTCTGTATCCGTGGTGAGATTTCGTCACACACCAGGCCACAAAGACTTATGAGACTCCCAAGATAAGTGTTCAAGAACGCAGATTGAGTACTACAATCTAATTTGAATATTCCCGTTACACAAAATTTAACTATTTCTCACGTTCAGAAGAGTAGTCCCATTCGAAAGAAATCTGTGTAGATTTCTTGATAACTATTATCAATCATTAAATTTGAAACTTTATAGGTTCTGTTTTTTTAACTTTTGTTGAGGGCAATGTAAGAAACTTATTATTAGTTAATTGGTTACTTAAAAAGTCTGAATAATAACAAGGATGATAGGCCTTATTGATCCTCAGTTGGATTTTTGTCAAATTCAATAGCGATCATACAAATTAATTGATTTGCGGAATTCGGCAGGATACTTTCAAATACCAAAGAATAACCATTGTTCAGCCTGAATTAAAAGTAACCAAAAGAAATTATGTCTAACTTACATCTGGTGTCAAAGCATTTGCTACGACTGGACTCAAAAATCCTGTCAATGCGCCAAGTGAATTAGAAGCAGAAAACAGTAAACCAGAATATTTTGGTGTGATTTCGATTGGACTAAGCATTCCACCAGAGAAAACACCAGAACTAAGGAACAGTCCAAATGTTAGTAGAATAACAACTGCATATTTATTATGATAGTCAAACAATGTGATCAGTATCATAAGGAGAGCCGGTCCAAACATACCTATGGAAGAAAGATTTAAAAAAGAAACATACACATTTTGTACTTTCCTTATATATGTGTTGAGGAGGGGGATCTGTAGAAACTATGATAAAATGATCTTTATATTAGAGATAAGTGTTAAGGCTAGTAATCTAAGCGTTTAAGAAGGAATTGTAACAATTTTGTATTGGCAAAGATTATTTGATAATGAATGGATGCAATGTCAATATGAGCAGAATAAAAATTTAAGTTACTCAAAAATTCAGGTTATGAGTTTTCCTTACCTACAGAAACAATGTGAGCCATGAGGCCTGATCCGTAACTAGATTTCTTCTTTAAATTATATTTAGAGTAAAAATTTGAAATGTGGAGTGTAAGAGAAGAGCAACTGTTCACACTAAATTGTACTCCTTCTATGTAGGAGAAGTGGGACAGTAAAGTGGTTAGGAGAGTTACTTTCACGGACGCAGAAGGTAAATGACTTATCGTAAAGATACAAATTACTAATAAACCTTTCTACATTTTGAACTAAGAAACTGATATAATGGGATAATCAAAATTAGAATGATTTACTCATTTCATACACATAGTTCCCTTTATTATCTTAAATAGAGCAAGAACAAAGATTGGTGCAGAATAATAAATGAATTCATTTTATTTCGTTAGGTTCTCATCAGCTGCTTACAACCTAAATTATTTAAAACTCAACATTAATACAGATATTGACATATTTATATATAAGAGTGTGATTAAGGATCAATACATGTGTATGATGATGTAGCAAGCAAAGATTCAGATAGAGTTAATGAGCTCATAAAATGTTTGATTCGAATAAATAAAGTTAGAGAGGGAAAGTTCCAGAACATTGTAATTTTTGTCCAATATTAATTCCATTTTAATACAATGTAATCATTACTTAGTATAGTATTTGTTTCTGTTTTCTCCTATGACATTTTATTCTATGTAACACCATATTCTTATATTAAGTTAACATGAACTATACTGGGCATGTAATTTGTTATAACTTTAAGTGTTTTTCATATATGTGATTTCATCCTATTTATTAATCAAAAAATGGGTGTACAGTCAATACATAAATGAGTGTATTTCCGACTAAACTTGTTGTGGTTGTTCGTGCTTATGGCTGCTTGTGGAATATATTCCCCTCTTTCGAACTTGAACTTCTCTTTCTAGTTAGCTGGGCTGGGATGCGTTGAAACAACTAGTTTATCTGTCATTGTGTCACAGAGTCTTCATTCCGCTCTCAGATTAGGTGAACTCATAATCTCTTCAAACAAATCTGAATATTGAGATCATGAACCGATTGATGTTAGACCATCACAATTGAAAACCTGGAAGCACTGGACGGCCGTTTCGTCCTATTGTGGGACGGCCGTCCAGTGCTTCCAGGTTTTCAATTGTGATGGTCTAACATCAATCGGTTCATGATCTCAATCAAAAACTTAATAATCTCCACAACCCCTATACTAGTAAATCTGAATATCTTTTTCTTTAATAGACTGTTTCTTGATGTTTGGTCATTTGTAGCAGAAGTTGTTAACAACGGTTGGTAAACACAATTCTACTAACAGATGATCATAGACTCAATAGGGAGTACTATGTATTATCAAAATGTTTGAAGACTAGATTAGTTCGTAAAATTCACCATGATTCTGTTTTGTTCGTAGTAACTGGTGAATTTCAGAAGCAGTGTCATCGTTATGGGAGCTGTGACATCTTTTATTTGCAAAACATCTTCCGAAACAGAGGTTTAGTGACTAGTGGAGAGGTATTAGTGCGCCGTAGTTATAGCAAATAATTATCGATTTCAAAGGCGATATTTGTTACAGATATCTTGAAGAGGAGAATTTCAACTCTCTCAATAAGACGTTTTTTGGAGCAACTTTGAGAATAGTATTTTCCAACCAATCAATGTTCAACAATAAATCTAAGGATTAATTATTTCATTAGATTGATTCTATGTGCGTTTATCAATTTACATGTTCATGTAGAGTCATGTATATAGGTCATTCGATGCGTATTTTATC